TCGACATTAGAATCACTTTCACTTGCTTGATCCCTAATTACATATGCATATTTTTGATATGGGTTTATCATACTTTTTCTAAAATCCTTTTTATCGATTGCAAATGTAATTTTAGGTTCAAGTGCCTTGTCTAATTTGGCCTTAAGGTTTCTAACCTCACCTTGCCAAATATGACAAGTATCACAACCAAAGTTGAAAGGATTACTATTGTCCTTACAATCCGATTCATTATCTTTCACAATGGAAGCCTTAAGGTCCTCTAATTTCTTTTCGGACTCTAAGACTTTGTGCTCTAAATATGTAAAAATTCTTCTATTAGAAGCAAGTTTCTTAAAGGCTTCAGTTGCTTCCTTGTGTAAAACATCGAATGCGGTTTGTAATTCGGAATGAGACATATTAGATGACATATTATATCTAGAGTGACGTACCTGTTTCTTTTTCTTTTTCTGATTTGCGGAGAGACATAGATTCACGGACTCTTCTTCATCACTAGAGCTTTCATTAGAGGAGGAAGAATCACTGTCGCTTTCCCATGCGATGTACGCCCTCCTAGGCTTTGATGCTCTCTTATGTGACTTCGATTGTTCCTTTTCTTTTCCCTTGTTGTTCATTGGACAGTCCGGTTTGTAGTGACCGGGCTTTCCACATTTATAGCACGTTCCTCTAGTCTTTTTGCCTTTTTGATTGTCATCTTTGGAGAACCTTGATTGCCTTCGGAAATTTACCAGGTTCTTCTCCGAATGTTGGATGCCGTTCTTTCTCACGTACCGGTTATACCGTTTAACGAACAGCCCCATGTCCTCATTTATGTCTTCTTCTTCGTCGTCGCTTGAAGAATAATCACTTTGCTCTTTTGCTTTAGACTTCGAGGAAGAAGCCTTAAGAGCTATTGACTTCTTTTCACTCATCTTTACTTTGTCCTTCTTTTCTTTCCTTTCATGTTGGTCAAGACTCAAGAGTACCTGTTCATGCTCTTGTAGTTTGCCAAACAATGTAGTCAGGTCTAATACCGTAAGATCATTTGCCTCTTTGATGGCGGTCACTTTCGGCTGCCATTCCCTGCTAAGACATCTCAAAACTTTATTAGTAGCAAGATCATTGGAAATAGGTCTTCCTAGTGAATGTAATCTGTTTATGAGATGAGTAAATCTCTTTTGCATGTCAGCAATGGTTTCCCCTTGCTCCATGAAAAAAAGATCAAACTCTTGTATAAGAGTGTTGATTCGAGCCAACTTAACATCGTTTGTCCCCTCATGGGCAATTTGTAGTGCATCCCACATAGTCTTAGCCGTAGGGCAATGGGATACACGGTAGTATTCATCTACACCTAATGAGGAGATTAGAATGTTCTTAGCTTTCCAATCGTAATTATACTTTCGCTCATCGTCGTCGGTCCATTGTGCTTCGGGCTTTGGCACAACTTCGTTATTCTCATTTGTCATGGTTATTTCAATCGGACCATTGAGAATAACGTTCCATATCTTTCTATCTATGGAATTAATGTGCACCCGCATACAGTCTTTCCAATAGCTATAATTTTCACCGTTAAAAACGGGAGCTCTATTGTACGCCCCTTTTGGTTCGTTAGCCATTATTCTATCAATGTTGTATTTGAAGCACCGGACAACCGGAGCTCGTGATACCACTTGTTAGACTAAGGCACGGATCTAGAAGGGGGGGGGGTTGAATAGATCCCTTTTAAAAATTTGAGTGGCGCTACCAATAAAATTGGTTTTCAAAATTGTTTTCAAATGCGGAAGCGGCCTTGGAAAATATAGTCTAAAACGAACAACTATTGGAGAGCCGGATATGCGTCAAGCAGATGAATTTAAGACGATAACGGATAGTAAATCACTACACACTTTTATGCAAAACTCAGATGTGATTCACTCGTACTATTTCCTTATTCCAATGATAAAAAATTACACCAAAACTAGCAGCAAAATTAAGGCAATTTTAGTTCAGCACTTTTGTCGAACAGTTGGTGTGCACAAAACTAGCAGCAAAATTAAGGCAATTTTAGTTCAGCACTTTTGTCGAACAGTTGGTGTGCACAAATACCTTAAATGATATTTGTGTTGAATGAGTGATTGAAAAAGCCTTAGTACAGTATTTCTATTGTACTTAGTAGTTAAAAAACAGTGTTTCACCAACTCACTCAATCAATACTACAATTTGACAAAATCACTTATTCTAGAATCACTTAATTTTTAAGCTGTAATTGAAAATGCAGAAAATAAAGGAACACAAGATTTGATGAGGCAGTTCCCCCAGTCGTCCTCGCGTTGGGGTACGTCTGCCCTCAATTCTACAAAGAGAATTGAGATATGTATTGAATAGATATCACCTGTTTGGTAGAACAGTTATACACAAGAATCGATAGACAATTGATACAAACAATCTTAATGTTGCTGATAATTTCTACCACTTCTTGCCCCTTGATTCAAGATGAATCAAGTCCTCCAATTTGATGTGAATGACCTCCGATTGCAGCCACCTTATTGACAACTCTTCCGTTGATCAAACCTTCGGCACGGCTGATCTTAGACACACCCAAATTGAACCCGGAACGTCTTCAACCTTTCAACGCCCTAGCTACTAGATTGATCAACCTTCCGCTAATCAATCACCTTCGCACTCGCTTGATTGTTGAACCGACGATTCCGTAACAAAAGCCTTCAAAACCTGTAGTCTTGATAGGTAAAACCTCAAAGGTTTTCTCCCAAGAAACACCTGCACCAGCTTCCACTCGAACCGGATCTTCAATCACGCGTTCGAACCTTATCACCGTCGAGCAAACCACAAACCGCAGCAAAAAATTGATTATCTGTAATTTGAGGATTTGTGAGTTGATTGAACGATGAAGATGAAGAACACTGATGCACCTCTTTCACGTTTCTTGACCTGAACACTTTCTCACAATGCTTTCAAAAATGTTAGTTGTTATTTTTAAAATTGAAAAGACAGCTATTTATAGTAATATACAAAACAGACAGATGACAGATCAATGAAACATAGCAGAATTTCTGTTTCTGCGCGCGAACGGTCGACCATAGGGTCGGCGTGCGCTGAGCCGTGTGATTCTCAAACTGTCATGCGCCGAGTCAGCGGTCGACGCATGATCTTCATGCGCTGACCCGTGAGATTCTTAAACCTGCATGCGCCAAGTTAACGGTCGACGCATGACCTTCATGCGCTGACCCGTGTGAACTGAATGAAACTGTGTGCTTTCAAAAATCTGCAAAAACATAAATTTCTACAGCTTTTTGTGCATTACGTCATTGTAAAAATTGAATCATAAGTAGCGTGAATGATTTAAACGAAAGAAGGATATCTCTTAGCAAGTTGTCATCATCAAAAACCAGAGGCACGCTTGTGTTGGTAGATACTTTGCCTTCACATCCGGGAGACATCAAACTACCTGATTAAGTTGTAATTACCAAGGAGAAAATTTCGTTTAGAGTTCCTCCCACATTCTCAGAGTCTAAGAATCCTAGCATAGGACGCTTAAGAGCTTTTATCGACACACTTCCATCTTTTTTATGGACGACCAACATCTTAGTGATTCTTCTCTTCATGGTCCTATTGGATGACATATTTGCTCGGGGTGCTTCTAAAGTAATGGTAGCAATATAATGGAATTTCCCTTTGATGGCTCTTTATCTTCACCACTGGTCCCAACATCGACAATTTTGAAGGGAGATTTACCCTTGGGCGATTCTTCCTTTTCTCCTTTCCCCCTTCACGTACTCAGACATCCGACCTTTATTGATCAACCCCTCAATGGCATTCTTTATCTGAACGTGGTTGTCAATGTTGTGGCCATGAACCTTGATGGGAAAAGGGTATAATCCTTCATTTTCTCCTACCGGATGATATTGTACATGTTGTTTAACAACCTTTCCTCTATCGCCAACGAGTTCGACTACCAAACGATATTGTACATGTTGTTTAGAAATTCGTTGGTGCCTTGCAGTTTAAGGTTATCTCACAATAGTTGAAAACCAAGTAAAGCCTCAGGTTGTGAAGCTGGCAGTGAAATCAGAGGAACTTGGACAAATCCAACTATATGAGGAATATAGCAGCAATGACAACAACTTGTGCTGCGACAGAGCGAGTAACTTTGGATCCAACCATTATCGAGAAATGTGGAAATCAGAGATCTCGAAATTCAAAAAATTGAAGTTGATATGCTACTTGATGGGATCAAATGCGACAAATCTTCGTCCTCGATACGACGAAGAGGGGGATTGACCTACAATGTTAACATTCCAACGCTAAAGTCAATATGTGAGAGAGAAGAGTGAGTTGAAATTGAATTTGAAACTAAGTACCTGAATTGGCATTCTTAATATATAGTGGAGAGTAAATAACAACTTGCTATTTGTTAGACGTGAATTGTAGAGAATCCGTTACATGTATCAATAGTTTAGATCTCTTATACTTACTTGTAGAGTAACTGTTATGTACTGAGAAGATTTTAGAAAGATTCTAATTTTTTTTAAGTGGTCGGACAAAGATCAATGTGGTCGGCTAATAACAGTTTTTATAAAGAAAATTATAATAATAACAATAATATTAAGAGTTTAATTGGTATCAAATTTATACCGTCATTCAATAGAAATATATTAATCTGACATATTATACCGTTAACTTACAAGTTATAGCATGATGTGATAGGATGCACGTATACAACGTAAAAATAACTTTACATAGTAAGCCATACCAATTTAATTATAGGAATAATGGAAAGAGGAATGATAATGGAAAGAAGAATATACACTTAACAAAAAATTGATAGAAACTAGAAAAACATAGAAGACATTAGCGTATTATAATAAATAATGTCTAAAATAAAATATCATTATAACATATGGTAGTAACTAAGGAGCACAACATGATCGTCACCACCATCACCATCGACAACAAAACAACCATAATCCATTGAAATTGAAATTGAAAATTGAGAAAGTAAACTAGTCAGTACCATTACTGTTATTATGCCAATTTCACCTGCAGCTGTGATCGTCCCATTGGGTCTTCTCTTCTTCGCTTCTGGTCTCATCGTTAACCTCATTCAGGTTTTCTCTTTTTCATTCCCCTTTTTACTTTTTTTTTTGGATTTTATCAATTTTGTTATTTTCGAGATTCCGATTTGGATTCATCTGATTATTGATGTTGAATTTTTGTGTGTTCAGGCAACATGCTTCGTGATTGTACGGCCGGTTTCGAAGAATTTTTACAGACGGATCAACAGGTTTGTGGCAGAACTTCTTTGGTTGGAGCTTGTTTGGATTGTTGATTGGTGGGCTGGAGTGAAGGTTTTTCAATTCATTCCCTCTTATCATTTTTATTTTTATTTATTTTTTTGAATTTCGTTTCTTTTTAGTGGAGCTTTAGCTTAATGTGTTGTGCAGTGAACCATTGTTTACTTGTTTTCTCACATTGTTTACTATTTGCTATACACTCTGTAGCACCGACACCTCTGCAAAAGGTGTCCGAGTCAGTTAGTGTTTGAAACTGATACAAATATTTGTGATTACGTTTAATTTATTATTTTTTAAAAATTATTTATGACTGGTTTCAACGTGTCAGGGTCGGCGTTGGTTTCCGGTGTCCATGCTTCATAGGTTATACATAGTCCATTGGCATTGTATTTTTATTTTGTTCCTTTAATTGCAATTCCTTGATATCAATGTGTAATGAAGAGTTAGTGATCTTTGGGCTTTATTGTCCGTTTTACTTTCTTTGTGTAACGTGGGTAAGGTTCGATTGTATCACTGTTAACAAATATCTGCAATTGCGGCGTTATGGAGGATATACACAACGGTTTTTGGACTTGCCACAATGGTATATATCAGCTGATATTGCAGGTTTTTCCCCTATAACGGTGCACAAAGTGTGCGGTATGGCAGGATTTTGGCTTTCCAATACGGACAACACTGGCGTGTGTCTAGCTGTGGTGTAATGTGTGTGTGCGTGAGACTTTTGGTGTAGAATTGGCCCTAAGATTTGAGTAGAAGTCAGTGTTGTCAAGTTTTTGCCATAGGCTGTAATAGATATAATTTCGATATGTTTCCGCCATAGGATGCAGTGCCTTGGTTATATGGCAGAGTTTTGGCCTGTTGCCATAATATGCCATCTGCCATCTGTCATTGATTAGCACTAGTAGAAGTTTGGGAAATGAAATTATTAAATGGTTCTGTTGTTTCCAGTGCTCAAAAGTCGGTCGATTTAACACGTTCTAGCTTTTATTTTTTTTATTTTTTTTTTACTTCTTTTCAATTTTAGGAAACTATCGAGAAGTGGGATGATGGCTACTATTTTTTATGATCCTAGCAGCGGAAATGTCCATAATAGAAATTATGAACATTTCGGCTTTAGTCATACTCCTGCATTGTTCGTGGACTTGAAACTGTTGCATTAGAATGTTTAGATCATTTAATTATAAGTAGTTTTGCTTACCGACACCATGTTGTTTTACTTGTTCACCAACTTGAGAGATTTTGGCTTTAAAATTGGGGAACTAGCCTACGGTGATTTTCTACATGTGGCTGTAGACTGACGAAGACTACAGGAATCTGTTTTCTTTGTTACTCTGCTCCTCCTGTTGTTGCAATGTTTCTTCTTCTACCATCTTTTGGCTTTTGCCATAAAAATGTTACAAAGAAGATGAGATTTAGGGGGAGAATGGGTTTTATTACTCACCAAACCATGATCTAGCAGTCCATTTAGGGTAGAAATTTATTATTCTCTTTTAAGCACAGTTATCAATTATCATCCCGGTGGATAGCGGCGCTATCTCGGGAGAGCGGACTGGCGCGGAGGCCGGCCGCTATGAAATCACTCATTGCGGAGCAGTTTTGAGTCGCGGCCTCTTTTGGATCATTCACGGGTCGCGGGAACGGAGTGGCCTCCCGGCCCAGACCCTCTTTCTTTTAATAGCAGCAAAAAACCTAAAACACCCTTTAAAGAGTAACCATTTTAGAGGGTGGTTTTGATATTTTCCTTCTTTAAGCCCTAAATGCAGATTTTCTTTCTAGCTCGTTTTCGCGTGTGCTCAACAGCTCTTCTCTCCCTCGTTTTCATGTACAACTGGGTTGAGTTCTTCTCACTCGTTTGCATTCTTCTTCCTTTCTCTCTTTGGCTGTTCTCTTGTTTTTCTTTACTCAGCACCACCACTTTGTTTTTAACTCCCTTTATTTTTTAGTTCTCTTCTGCTTTTTTTTTTTTTTTTTTTTTTTTTTTTTTTTTTTAATTTATTTTTTAACTCAGCACCACCTTTATTTTTTATTTTTTATACTCTGCTTTCTGGTATTGTTTTTTTCCCCTATAATCAAACTACACTATTTTTTATAAACATGTTTTTTTAATTATTTTTACTATGTTTGTTTTATGAAATATATGTATATAGTTTGTAGTTATCATTGGTTTATAAATATTATTCTTATCATTTATTGAAAAAATAGTCAAATAGTGGCTATCCCACTATCCGCTATCCCATTTTTGAGGTCGGTTGCTCCGCTCTACTATCTGGAATTGATAATTTTATTTTTAATTAGAGTTTTATTTTTATTTGAACAAAAACGGAGTTTGTAATTCCAAGGTCGAATATAGCCTTGTGAAATGGAGGCTATGATTGCCTAGATTTCCTTGCTTTAAAGTAGTCTTGATTGATAACAAGAATGTTATCTTCTAACTGTTGTGACTCAAAGTAAATTGGAAAGATCAGAACTTTGGACTATTTCCTCAAAGTAAATTGGTTGTTAGCCATGACACTAGAAACTGAAGGAAAATTCTATGCATTTAATATATCTTCTCTTCTGTTGTTTAATACTTTTGATAGTCCTGCCTTTTTAATTTTTAATTACTTTGATGCATGTTGTAATCCTGAAAATTTGATTTTATTTAAGGAAAATTGGTTATTTGAAAGTATGGTTATATATGAATTTGATTTGATTCAATAATATTTATTGTTCCATTTGGATTAATCTAAGATTTCATTTGGAATATTTTGGCTTCAGATTCAAGTATTTACAGATCCTGAAACCTTTCGTTTAATGGGTAAGTCTCTTGTGCTGTGCATTTTGTGTTAATTTTTTCCTTGTGTTGTGCATATGTGCTTGTGTTTTGGAAAGGGTCAAAAGGGAGTATTCCTAGGACCATTTTTCTGCATCTAAGCTATCTAATTCTGTCTAGAATTTTCCAGGTAAAGAGCATGCTCTTGTTATATCCAATCACAAAAGTGATATCGATTGGCTTGTTGGATGGATTATAGCTCAGGTGATTATCTTATGTAATATGACCTTTTTTCGCGTCTTGAAAGCAAGCAAAGAAATACACTTTTAGCTATTTCATTCATTTGATATAATCTGGTATCAAATGAACTCATACGTCTGTGCTTATGGATAATAAATATGGGATTCTTGGATTCAAAACTATGTTGTGGATCGTCTGATTTATAGTTCAACTACTCATTGATTATCTAACACTATTATTCAAAAACAGCGTTCAGGTTGTCTTGGTAGCACCCTTGCTGTGATGAAAAAATCATCAAAGTTTCTGCCGGTATGTTTCATATTTGTGATTTTGAAATGAAAAGATAGAATATTGTTTATTTTTTTAACTATAATGGTTTAAATCATAGTCACATAATTTACTGGTCCATATAAAGAACCGCAAATTGGTTTGCAGTACCGCAAAGATAGAATAGTATTTATTTTTCAACCATAATGGTTTAAATCATAGTCACATAATTTACTGGTCCATACAAAGAACCGCAAATTGGTTCACAGTACCGGATTGCGGTACTTTTGAGAATTGGTACGTTGAAATTCACAAAAGAATTCACATTAAATGACGCGCACCGAACACACCAAAGTATAATTCATAATAAAACTGAACTTCCATACACAGAGCTAAGAGATCTATTTTTTTACTTTAATAAAGTGATAAATCCCGGGCCCCACCCACTTTTATAGGTTGCTCTATATTTCAAGTTATGTAAAGTTGCGATGTGGAACTTATCTCATAATATTTTTCACGTAATGTTTTGTACTATGTCTATATGAATTAACTTTTGCTATAATATTCTATTAAGGATCATGCTTCTATCCAAATCATTAATTTTGAAATCTTTTTTAATAACTTCTTTCTAGGTCTTCTCCTTCCTTTAATTGTTTTCCTTCTCTCCATCTGGTCTACCCTTCTTACTACAGAATTTACCGGTGTTCTCTCTACATGCCTAAATCACTTAATTCTATTTTGCACCATCTTCTCTACTATAGGCGCTACCTTACACTCTCTAATATTATCATTTATAATTTTATCATTTCGAGTTTTACCACACATCCATCGCAACATCTTCATCTCTGCTACAGTTACTTTATTCTCGTGTTGATTCTTAATAGTCCAACATTCAGTTCCGTACAAAATCGTACTCTTACTGCAATTCGATAAAACTTTCCCTTCAATTTGAGCGGTACTTTTGAATCATATAAAACGCTTGACTACCCATCTCCATTTCAACCCCTCAGCTTGAATTCGATAATTTATATCCCCTTCTATTTCTCTATCATTTTGTATTACGGACTCAAGATGTTTAAACCGTGTGACTTGAGGGATAATATGGTCTCTAACTTTTACCTCTAGGTTTGAAACGGTGTCTCTTTTCTTGAACATACATTCCATATACTCCGTCTTACTTCTACATAGACGAAAACTTTGCGTTTCTAAATCTCGTCTCTAAGTTTTCAACCTCATTTAAATCCTTCTTCGACACTCCAAGAAGGACTATATCATCTGCAAAAAGCATGCATCTCGGTGCTACCTCTTGGAAGTATTTCGTGAGACATCCAAAATTAAGGCAAAAAGGTAGGGGTTTAGGGTTGAATCTTGATGTAAACCAATTGTAATGAGAAAATCGTATGTCTCTCATCCTGTTTTCGCACACTAGCCGATATTCCTTTATACATATCTTAGATATTTTTTACTAATATCAAATGTTTATATTTCAGTTATATAATTATTTTATGACTAAAAATAAATTAGGAATTAATTTTTTTAATCAAATAAATATAATTTATTTTACTTAATAATTTTTTATGTATAGCATACGAATTATTCTATTTAAACATACCACAAACCCAAATAGCGTATATGTCACGATTGAAAATTTACATAAGATCGAGAAAGAATAACAAGATCGTAAAATATAAAATCGTAGTTAAGATCGGAAGATCCTGTCCATTGTTTTTGTAAGACCGAGAAAGGGTAACAAGATTGTAAAACATAAAATCACAACAAAAATTGTAAGATCCTACTAAAATGAAAAAAATAATAGTGTATATTTAAAGTATTTAGATATGATGTATGTTGGGAGGCAAGTGTATTCGTGAAAAAGTGACTCTTTCATATTTTTTAGACATGTGATTGAATTTTTATACTTTATTGCTATCACATGGAACATTTGTTAGACATTAGGGGCATATTTGATCAAATACTATGGTTATCATAAGTCAAAATTCTAAAAGTGAGATGTTTATTCTCTAAACCTTAAATCTAAACTTCATTTCAAAAGACAGACATTTGTCCACGCCGAACAATAATTGTTTCGCCTTGTCAAGAAATGTAATTGAGCCTAACTCAACCCTACGAAACCGGTTGGTAGAGTGAAGATTGTTCCCACTTATAAACACATGTTCATGCCATATATTATCTGATGTGAGACTCTTAAAATGTTGAAATAAGCGAGACTAAGAGACATTTAGATTAAACCGTGTGTTTTGAAAAGGACTACAGAGATATTATTCTATATAGAGAGATTACAACTAATTACATGATATAGTCGATGTGAGACTATTCTATATACAAATATTCTTAACACTATATATTTAAAAATATCAACACCTCTCATCAAGTTTGAGCATATAAGTCAAATGCACCAAGCTTGTTACATATATAATTAGTTATGGGGTTTCGCAGGGATTTTGTAAACACGTCTGGCAATTGATCATTAGAGTTGACAAAGCTTGTGACGATGTCGATTGACTCGATCTTCTCTCTGACAAAGTGATAGTCTATCTCAATATGTTTAGTCCTCTCATGGAAGACTGGATTCGAAACAATGTGCAATGCAATTGATTATCACAAATAAGTGTCATTGGTTTTACTTCTTTAATTTGAAGTTTCTTGAGCAATAGTTTTAACCACGTGAGTTCACATGTTGCCATTGCCATGGTCCAATACTCTGCCTCGGCGCTTGATCTTGCAACTACATTTTGTTTCTTACTTTTTCAGGATATAAGGTTTCCTCCAACAAATGCACAATACCTAGAGATGGATCGTCTATCAATGGGTGATCCTGCTCAATCAGCATCGGCGTATCCAACTATCTGAGTATGTCTTTTATCTTCATACACGAGACCTTTTCTTGGAGCACATTTGATGTATCACAGAATCTGAATAACAACTTCCATGTGTTCCTAACAAGGGGAATTTAAGAACTGGCTTACCACACTAACTGCAAAAGAAATATCCGGACGAGTGACTGTGAGATAATTCAACTTTTCAACTAATCTCCTATATCTTCCTGGGTCAGATAAAGGCTCCCCCTGATTGGGTAGAAGTTTGACACTTTGATCCATATGAGTATCAGTTGGTTTAGCATTCAACAACCATGTTTCTTCCGAAATATCTATAACGTATTTCCGCTGGGCAATCACTAAACCATCTTTAGATTGGGTCACCTAAATTTTCAAGTAGTACCGGAGTTTACCAAAGTCTTTTGTCTGAAATTGATTCGAGAGATGTTGTTTCACCTGGAGTATTCCCCGCTGATCACTACCAGTTATGACGATATCATATACATAAACAATAAGATAGGTGCATACTTGAGCTGAGTGATGATAAAAAACGGAATGGTTAGCTTCACTACGAAACATACCAAACTGTTGTACTACAGCGTTGAATCTGCCAAACCAAGCTCTCAGAGATTGCTTAAGACCAAAAAGAGACATGTGTTGCCTACTGATGCGTACCAACACAGTACACAATAGAATAGTAATAATAATAACAATATTTAAAAGAAAAAGCTTTATTGTATTGATGTATAAAGGAACACAGTACAGAATAAGGAATTGCGAATCCCTAGATCTACCAAGAGCTAGGCTCCTCAATAGAGAGTTAGTACTCTCTATCCTCAATGCACTAACAGACAAAATGCAAAGATGATTCTCAATTCCCCCTCTGACTCCTTATAACTAGGAAAGGAAATGTTGTGATGCTCTCTCTCTGATACACGTCACATCATCTCTAACAACCTTAGCCACTATTTTCCAATCTTCCCTTTCTTCTAGAATAAACCAATAACGGCTTGGCCCCACTAGTTGCTGAGTGAATTAATTGTTGATGTGGTACTTCCTCATTTGTTTAGGTTCTATCAATACCTCCTCCATCAAAATGGACCTTGTCCTTAAGGTCAAATTTCGGAAACTGACTTCTAATCATTAATTCCTCCTCCCAAGTAGCTTCCTCCATAGTCTTGCCCTTCCAATGAATTAGTAACTGCTTCACCTCTTCCCCATGCTGCTTCACCTTCCGGGTAGCAAGTACAACTTCAGGTTCATAAACCTCTACTTGTTCTTCCAACAGATCTGGGAGTTCTGTGTCTTCTTGGTAATTTCCCATTGCCTTCTTCAATAAGGAAACATGGAAAACAAGGTGCACTCTAGATCCTTCAGGTAATTTGAGTTTATAAGCTACTGCTCCTACTCTTTCTATTATTGGGTAAGGGCCATAATACTTGGCAGCTAATTTAACATTGATCCTAGTAACTACAGATTGCTGCCTGTGGGCTCTAAGCTTGACAAACACCCATTCTCCACACATAAAACTTCTGTCAATTCTTTTCTTGTCTGCCTGACTCTTCATTCTCTCTTGTGCCTTAAATAATTGAATTTTTAATTGTTTCAGAGCTTCATCTCTATCCATCAAGTCCTGCTGCACACTGGCCACTCTAGTTTCGCCTTGCACCTATCTTGTCAGCCGAGGTGGAAGTCTGCCATAAACGACCTCAAATGGTGTCTTATCTGTTGAGGCATGGTAAGTAATGTTATACCAGTACTCAGCCCAATGAATCCATGTCACCTAAGTCCTTGGTTGATCAGCTATAAAACATATCAGATAAGTTTCCAGACATTTGTTTACCGCTTCTATTTGGCCATCAGATTCTAGATGATAGGCTGTACTCATCTTGAGTTTGGTTCCTTGCAACTTGAATATTTCTCTCCAGAAGTTACTCATGAAGATAGGGTTCCTGTCACTTACTATTGATAAAGGAATGCCATGTAATTTGAGTATTTCCTTAAAAAAAATTTCTGCTATACTTCGGGCTGTATAAGGATGTTTCAAGGGTATAAAGTGTGCATATTTAGATAATCTATCCACTACTACCAATATAGCTTCAAACTGTTTGGACTTAGGCAAACCTGTGATGATGTCTAAGGATATATCCTCCCATACCTGTTCTGGAATAGGGAGTGGTTGCAGCAACCCACCTGGAGATGATG